ACTTTTACTTGAGTATATTTTTTCAGTACTCTTTCCACCACTGGTTAAAACTGATGCTGGCCGAGAGAAAGATCAGAGAAGAGGAAGGAAGCATGTGAAGAGCTCAGCTAAAGACTGGCTAAAGATATACTGGTGTGTTTAACAGTGTCCGCTGTCAATGACATAGCAGACATCAGATGTGACGAGAGCAAGTTCTGTCTGCATGATTTACCCGTCCTGTTGTCATCATGAAGAACACATGCTCTGAAAGACACTTTCTTTCTTTTCTCTCAGTATGACAGACAGATCCTGATAGGAAACATGTTTGAGAATGGCAAACATACATGCTTGTACTGCTGCAGATTCTGTTTGGCTCTTCATTACACTCTTCACTATTAAATGTGATTCAGACAAACCCTCACCGGATGTTCTTTTTGCATAAAAGACATAAAAACTACTTTTCTCATTTCCAAAACGTCACTGAGACACTCTTATAATTTGTATACATTTTTTATTTCTACAGTTTAGTTATTATTTTATAATTAAATGAAAATGAGAAATGTTTCTTTGGCAGCTAGCTGAAATAAAATAAATGTAAGTTTTTTAATTGTATATTTTCTTTTCTTTCAATTTAGAATTATTTCAAGTATGATGGTTTTTTTTTTATGGTTTTATAAAGTAATTTTTCATGCCTTCATCTTATGTCTTAATTAGGTGAATTATTATTTATTTTTCTACAGAAATACTGGCAATATTAAGATACATTGCAGGTGTTTCTTCACATTTCCTTTTTCTATAACTACCATTTCAATCATTTCCGTTATAAAGGAACAAACTTTTTTTGAATTTGTACTCAATTTATAGTTCCAGTTTCTATGATATCACTTTCCATCCTTTGGTTAGACATTTGTAAATTCCCTTCATCTTTAATGACATCATCCTCCAGGAAGTGACATCATTTTGGAAGAAAAACAGCAGTGAGTAATTGAATTCTGGGGGAGAAAAAGTAAAGTTCTGAATTCTGGGAGTTCTTTGTAATTGTTCAATTTACTAGCAATTTCAGAGTGAAAATAGTTTCTACCCTTTTTTTTAAAAGTGTAGAATCAATAAATATTAATTTTTTAGTACTGCAGCACATGACTGACCCTTCTGATATATTTGTCCTTCACAGGAATCCCTAAACAATCGCAGGTCCTGCAGAATGAAGCTTCCTCAACAAATGAGCACACAATTGTCATGACGGGCCGGAGGAAGCAGCAGCAGTCAGACGGCGGCACGTCTGCCATTCAGATAATGTGCTAGAAGCACATGCCTTTCCCTCGCATTCTCTCAGGAACTCTCAGGATGAGAGACGGGGCCTAATCGTATCCCAGCTGAATATGCCGGCCTTGGAGAGAGGTGACATTTCTGAAGGAGGAAAAGTTTTGTGGTCGGCGCCACCTGCCGTGTGGAGCATGTGCAGCAGTTCCCCAGCTGCTGCTTCAACTGCCTCTGAGGAGTGCCTGCGATCTGGAGCTGGGGTTCCCTGGGTCTGCTCTACGCTATTGGTTAAAGTTTAGTGTGGAAACTCTCAACAACGGCACACTTTTAAATGTATTAATATTGCAACCAGTCTCAACTGTTGGGTTATTAAAGGGGTCATATGATGCTTTTTTAAAGATCGTTATTTTGTGTAACAGAATATGTTGACATGCTTTAATGTTCAAAAAACACATTATTTTTCAAATACTGTACATTATTGTAGGTCCTCTATGCCCCGCCTCTCTCAAATGCTTCGTTTTCTACAAAGTCCCTCCTTCCGACAAGCGCAGTCTGCTCTGATTGGCCAGCTGACCCAGTGCATTGTGATTGGCCGAACACCGCAAGCACTCGTCGGAAATGTAACGCCCCTTACCATAATCGCGAGCTTCATCTTTCAAAATAAATGTAAAGACAGAGCCCGAAAGGGGAACAGAGTCACGTGACAGACACAGTGATGAAGCTGGTATGTGTTTGCAGTACACAAGCCACGGTTAAGACAGCTGACTCCACTGTGATGTAAAGGAAAACTTGAAATCGCATCATATGACCCCTTTAAAGTTCAATAGCACTATCAAAAAAAAACTATAAAATAAAAAAATGTGTTACTTGAAATAATAATAATAATAATAACAAAAACATTTTTTAATTGAAAAAAAATATTTTAGTTACTTTTATTTCAGCTAGTTTCAAAGGAAACAGTTCTAATTTTCACTTAGTTTAACTTGATACTAAAATGACTAAAAGTAAAACTGAATTTTTTTTTTATAAACATATGGACAATAAAAATTAAAAAAGTAAAGATGACAAAAATACAACAAAATTACTAAAACTTTAACAAACATGAAAATGAAATAATATAGAAATCTAAAAATAAAAACAAATTCAAACAATGAATAAAAACTATAATAGTATCTCAGTAATAATGAAATAACGCTGATGCCAACTATACTGTATAAAGTCAACAGGATCGCTTCAATTGGTAAGACACAATTATCTTTTTTCAAATGAATTTTCCACTGAAGATCGGCTCAATTTCAGATCAACATAAATGAGTTATCAATCCCATAATTCATCAATCTAATCTAATTTTACTTTCCCCCCAAATTATTTACTTAATTTACCTGGATGCATAAACTTGATCATAATGGTTTGACAGAATGTATTATTTTCTACAAAATACTTGCTGGAAATTATGTAAGCTTATTTCTGCCACAGAAAAAATAAAAATGGTAATTGGAATTTTTCAATCTCACAATTCAGACCTTTTTTCTTAAGACTTAGGATTCAAATTTGAAATTGTGAGATCAAAATTCACAATTATTTTAAAAATGTTTATTCCATGGCAGAAATAAATTTCCATAAAAAATGCAAAAATGAAGTTGGGTCAAATATGATCCAGCTGGCTTTATAGGGTTAATATGAGCATGTATTTGGTCAGTATGGGTTGACTAGCTGTTTTCCACTCCTGACAGCTGTCACTTGTGTTTGGGATCTGGATGTCTTTAACACTTTGTTGTGCATGAAGTCAGTAAAGCACTCGTCTCATCATGGCCTGTCTGCTCTTACATTTGCTCAGCTTTCATCCAACACATCCAAACCCCCAGAGTAAATCTCAACAGGGTTCAAGCACAACATTTGATTTCAGGTGTGTGTCTGCTGACTTTACAAATGGTGCCAATGTTAAATGGATAGTTAATCAAAAGTATTATAAAATATAAAATAAATAGTAAATAAAAATAAAATAAAAAATAATAATTACAATAATAATCCTTGAAACATGTTCAGGAGAACATCATGCTGACTGCTTATTTTGCTACTTATTATTTTTTTCATTAATCAAAAATCCAAGTTTTTATATATTTTGGAACAAAAAAACTATTTAGGATGGCTATAATATGTATATATCTAAGTATATAAGAATATATATATATATATATATATATATATATATATATAAAAATATTTTCTTTCTTAAAGTAAAAATATCTATTTTTTAATAATTATCGTTTTGTAATTTGCATGCATGGCAGCTGACAAATATATATACTAATGGGTATATATATATATATATATATATATGGGTATTTATTGGTGAACTGTCCCTTTAAGAGCTGAGAATGACTGTCATATATTGTTATTCCATTAAATAATTTCAGATAATTTGTTTTAAGGTCATTCTAACTCAACTTAATGTTATTATCACTGTTCAGCTGATCCAACAACCCTGCAAAAAAACCCTGCAAGAAAAGTTTTTTACTGTGGTAAATGGCTGAGGTTGAGCAGCATATGCCATGTCCCGTCACGACCCACACCTGTTTGTGAAGCGTTGATTACGCTACCTTTGACCTCGCTGATAGAAACGTACACAATGGCAGGTCTTTCAGGCGTCTGCTCATATGGAACAGCTGTATCAACCACAGGACGGCAACTGGCCGCAAACACTGGCCTCTTACTCTGCTTTAACACTAATGATTCAACATGAACATGTGAGGAAGACATTAGCTGATCCCCTCAAGCCCTCATCATGGCTTTAAATCAATCAGGTAATTTGGTAGTTCATGGTCTATCATAGTAATGAATAGTAAAAAGCTTGTATGAATTCCACATGAATGAGAAATAAAGGTACCCAACATCATGATGTAAGAATGGTTTTCCATGCAATGTGATGTTCAGTGCATTAAAGAATATATTATATTAAAGGTGCAACATCTCACTGGACATCTGTATGGCATGTACAGAACAGTCAAAAATAAAAATAAACTGTACAAAGTTATTTTTTATGTTGCACAAAAGTAAATAATTTCTACAGTGCTGTCTTAAATTAGAATCATTTTTGTGAATTCTGTCTTTTCGGTATTTCAGTAAGGGTAAGCTGACAATGTTTACATGTATATGTATATATGGTAAAAATACGTATTTATAAATATATATCAATATTATTTTAGTATCATTGATCATTGATTACTATTGTAGTTTTTGTTAATATTTTGAATTAGATTTTTTGTATTTTGTTTTCACTTTAATTTCAGTTAAAATTTTGGTAAGTTTGTTTGCTTTGTCTTTTTTATGTATTCTGTGTTTTTATAATTTTTGTCATTATGTCTATATAGTTTTTTTATTTTATAATTTTTTATAATTTTTTTAGTAGTTGTTATTTAAGTCATTCTAGTTAAACTAAGCAAAAAAAAAATGTTGTCTTGGCAAATAGCTGAAATAATGTTTATGTTTCATACATTTTAAATATCATCGTTTTGTTTTGTTTCATAATTGTTTATTGTTACAGTGTTGCTGAAAAGGTATTAAATTACTATATTTTCGATATGATATGAAAAATGCTCTTTGCGTAGGTTTAAACTTTTTACTATATAATACGATAAGATCAGTGTGTGTTAAATGAATTTTTTGAATGATATTTTTTCTGGACAAAAACTGTAGAAAAATATTGAATAGTTTTTAAGTTTTATATATATATATATATATAAAGACTTAGTGAAGAAAGTTGTGCTTATTAAAAATAAGGAAAGAAAGATATATATATATATATATATATGGGCAATATCTCTCTCTCTGTATATATATATATATATATATATATATATATATATTATAGTTTCTATCTCACAATTTTGACTTTTTTTGCTTAAAATTGCAAGTTTATATCACAATTCTGATTTTACATCTTAAATGTATCAATTCAAAATTGCAAGTTTATATTTCGCATATTTTTAAATATATAAATCTAAAATATAAATTCAGAACTGCTATAAAAAAGTCTGAATTGTGAGCAACTACCTTTTTTATTATAATTTTTTTATTCCGTGGCGGAAATAAGATCCATACAAAAATTAGTAAAATGATGTAAAATTCTGAAGCAATGCTCTAGGAAGTTCACGGAAACACCAAGCGCATTACTAACATGAACATCACTCAGATAAATTTCTGCACACACACCAAAAACATGCAGTTCTTTGTCAGCTGTGCCCCAGAAAGCATTTTCTGTCATGCTGTCCCAATAAAAGCGGGTGGCAGTTGTCTTTTGGCCCACCCTGCCCCCCAGAATCCCCTTCTTTTTTGAAGAAGCCATTGAGATTGGATGTCTGGAGCGTAGTGTGAACAGCTGAGAGCTGTGATTTCACAGGCTGCTGGACTGTCAGAGCACTGAGGCCTGCCAACAGGAGGTCCAGGAGAGACCCAGGCCTCTAAAAGACATCGACAGGTGGAAGGCTGCCAACAAGGGGAGGGTGAGCATTAGAAAAGGCCGGGAAGCCAAGCCGGCTCTGGACACAATCCAGGAGATGGCACAGGACGAGGATATGCACAGAAGAGAGCGCCGGACCTGTGTTTGTCCCGTCTGATGGACTGGACGCCAAGGGACGGGCAAGTAATGTGGGAAGCCTGAGCTGAAACCGTCTGATATGTCAATGCTGTTGGACTGCAGGTACAAGTCTCTCTTTACTGCTTCGTTCTGTTTTTTTTGGTTTGTTCACTCAAATGTATTTCAGAAAGAAAATGCTGTTTTTTTTTCATCAATTTTACTTTTTAGAAAGGCGGTGAAAGTTTCATGCAATTTTCTAGACAATAGCCTGTATACTGTAAATGCCTGCCAGGTCAGAATGAACTGACAGGGAAAGTTGACATATCCTGAGGTATGACATGCTAAACTCCATCTAAAATGATTTGAAACAGCATTTAGCACCATCTAATTTTTTCAACAGTTTAAATTTGACCAAGCATTCCGTTTTTATGATGTCATATCAAATGGAATGTTTGTACATTTAAATGCGAGTTTGTTACACCGCAGGGCTGTTTAAAATCAGCTAGTGGAGGGAAAAAGGTGATTAACAACTTTCTCTAGATGCATCAAATCTTGTTCATAAAAAAAGCCTATGCTATGTATCATTGTGTCATATGGGATCTATGCTGTACTATAGAGTATTATGTGAGTTGTGATGTATGGTGTGTTTAACAGATCTGGCTGTTGCTCCTTGAGATGACATACTTCCTTATATCCCCATATACAGAATCAATCTATGGAATGTAAGGAAGTGTGTGGTCTCAAAGAGTCTTTATCATCATCATCATCATCTCCTTAAAACTGTTAGAGAATATGGCACCACTGACTTAAATGATGTCTATGGATCACAGGGAACACTATCATCCATCCTAATGAGTTAATGATTTCTATAACTGTTATTTGTTCTATGAAAAATTATTGTACATTTATAAACTATAAAAAGTAACATCTTGTAAATATATTTTATATTTATATATACATATACACTAAAATGATAGAGGGTTAATGAGTTCTATAACCATTATTTGTTCTATGTTTTTTAAGTTTATAAAACATAAAATGAAAGAAACGTAAATATATATTAAGTCATTTTAATTGTACTATAAATTACATAAAATATGAAGAACTACAAATGATAGCAGCTGCTGCCATCACGAATGTTTACTCTTATTAATAACTGGACAGGTGGAGAAGAGCTAATTCTGGACGGACACACCAGAGTCAGGACATACCGGCACATCCACGGACTCGGTGTCATTGTCCAGAAGGAAGTTCATCTTCTGCTTCCTGAGTCATAGATGAGATCGATGATTCTAACTGCAAATAAAACGTATGACATGTGATTAATCAGATGCTGAAGTGTGAATGTCACTGAGGAAAGCGATGCCTCTCACCTCTAGAAATCCTAAGCTGGAAATCCATTTGTCCTCAGAAACATGTCTTAGTTGCTGGTAAAACGGAACCAAGTCAGGTGTTTGAGAGAGGTTTGGTCCCTTTCAACCAGCTACTGCGCCGTGACTTCAGCCAACAACACAAACACAGGAATATACATGTCATGAGAGTAAAAAACACGTGGACCTGTATCCAAATCAGACAATGTTACCTGAATCACAAAAACATTACTATTCATATTCAATATCATGATAAAATATGTGTAATGATGGTCTGTTTTTCTGTGATTACTCTCTGGAAAAGCTCAGTTCTGCTCTCTACAGGAAAGAAATGGTAAATGCTTAAACAATTAAACAGCCAGATTTTGCTTGATGTAATAAGATAAGTTTTCTAACTTTTTTTTTTTCATGCCAGTCCTGTGTTTTCCACTTTGCTGTATTGTAAAAAAAAGCACATTTATTGATAAAAAAAACGAAGGAAATAAAAGATATTTGTCCTCATTTTTTCTCTTTATATATTATTTTCTTTATATATATATATATATATATATATATATATATAAAATAGTCAATACTCAAAAAAGTATTTTGAAAGAATAATTGTATTAACGTATAATAAAATTAATTTAGCTTGAGATGGCACATTACAACTGTGTAACTGGCACAATATGAGGAGCAATTTTTGTGACTTTTTTTCTCCACAAATGGAAAATAGAAAAGGCGGCAAAGGAAAATCACATGTTGGAATTCTTTGGAATACACCGAAACAAAATGTCAGCATTCTTTGAATGCTCGTCCAATTAAATTAGTGCATTGTAATCTAATATTGTAGAATAGAATACACAGAATATTTATTTTTCAGAATTCCAATTTAGTTGCATCTGTAACAAATGTCTCAATGCAGCTGCTTTTAATACAATTTTAAAAACACCTTTATTATGAAACCAAAGGCCACTTCAGATCAACAATTTGTGTACAAATATTAGAAAGCTAAAGAAACCCACAAAAATACAGTACATAAATAATCATATTACACCATATGCAAACCAAATATCATTGGATTCGGTGCTGTGCATCTATTTTTTATTCATTCCCTGATTGCACTGAACTCTTGCTGTGTATTTCAGAGTGACTGTGCCAGTTCTGTAACAGAGAGAAAACGGACCAAAGTGGAGGACCAATTAAAGGAATAATTCACCCAAAAATGAAAATTTGCTGAAAATGTTCTTATACTCAGGCCATCCAAGATGTAGATGAGTTCATCAGAATTGGAGAAATGTAGCATTCCATCACTTGCTCACCAATGGATCCTCTGCAGTGAATGGGTGCCGTCAGAATGAGAGTCCAAACAGCTGATAAAAACATCACAATAGTAATCCACATGTAATTCACACCACTCCAGTACAGCAGCAATTAACGTCTTGTGAAATGAAATGCTGATTGTTTTTAAAAAACAAATCCATCCTTAAGACATTTTACATGTCTTACAAACACGCAGCAGCTTGTGGATTATTTATGATGTTTTTATCAGCTGTTTGGACTCCTATTCTGATGGCACCCATTCACTGCAGAGGATCCATCGGTTAGGATCAATCAATCTGATGAAGAAACTCATCTACATCTTGGATGGCCTGAGGGTGAGTAAACGTTCAGCAAATGTTTATTTTGGGTGAACTATTCCTTTAAGATCAAATACATATCAAAGTGACTGTGTACAAAATGTTTAAATGTTTGTTTTGAATATGATCTGTTCATTATAAAGTGAATATGAACATGTGGTCTCCACTTTCTTCCTCATGAACTGGTTTACACAAATAAAAGAGGGGGGAAAGGCAAAACAGGATCTTTCCCACTAAAAGTGTGAGAAAATTAAACCTTCACTAGTTTCCATGATTACTTTTCCTAAGAGAAAATTTCACAGTAGGCATCACACTTTAATCTAAATAAAACTGAAGGAAATATTTTAAAGTCAAACAAAAGACACACACATAATTTTGAATCTCATTAAAACATATCTGGGTCATTTTCACACCAAAAATAAGAGAAAAACAAATGTAAAAAGAAAATAAGACCTATTTTAGGACCATTACAACTTTTTTTGCATTGTGACATTATTTTCAAAGACAATTAAGGTCATTTACGCCATAATGCAATAAAAAAATAATTTTACTGTAATACAGTAACGAAAACAAAGGGATAGTACAATGTATACCACCACAAAAACTGAACAATTTATTTACTTTCTTCCACTTTTTAACATTACAAAAAATAAAAATCGTAGAGATGCACAATAATGTCGCAATGCAAAAATATGTAAAAACTCACCCTCATATTCCTTATGCAAAACATTCCCTTATTTAATAATCATTTCGGGGTAAATATAATGCTAGCATTTCTGAACAGTTTTCGTGAGACTCACTCATACGTGTCCCTCTAATGCCCTGGAAAAACCTTGAGTGTGCTGGGGACGGACGAGACCCCCGATCAGTGCAGCATTTTGCAGTGGCACCAGGAAATTCAGATACAGTAAATGAGGGAAGGAGGAGCAGCACCACCCCGAGACAAGGCAACATCACTGTCATTGTGCATAAGTGAACATACAGTAGCAGCCAGATGTCTTCAGTGTCATCAAATCCCTCATGAAACAACTAGAGCTGCTGCATCAGCCTGGAACAGGGCCACTTGTTGGTGGTATTGCATTTCTTTCATTCAGCAATTAAACAAGAATCCATGACAGCAGAGAGGTGAATCTCACAAAATGCATCAAAAATATAAATCATGCCAAATTTAAAAGAAAAACATATTAAGTTATATTTTGCATAAAAGAAAATGAAGTCTGGTTTTAGGATTTGTTTTTTGCATTGTGACATTTTCATGACAGCAAAAAAGTCTCATTATTATAATGCAATTATTATAATGGTAGTATTTGCTGTGCTCCCTTTAAATGTATTTTTAAATAACATTTTTTGAAATGAAAAAAAAAAATTTTTTTTAATCAATCCTTGTTTGTACATTGTTTGTGGCTGTTTATTTTTGTGGTTTGAAAGAAATGTAATAAAAAAATCTAATATACATTTTTAAAACTTAAAAATAAAAAAATAATTAAATATGTTCTCAAAATAATTTCAAAAAAATAAAAAAAACTCAATGCTCATAAGAAACATGCCTCATTTTGAAAACCTAAAAGTAAAAAAAAAAATGAGAAAATATAAATAAATTGAAAGGTAGTGTAAAAAATAATTTCACTATTCATCATTATGGTCTTAAGAGACATGGTTCATTCAAAAAAAAAAAAAAAAAAAATTCTTCAGGGTCCTAAGAAACATGCCTCCTTTTTTTCATGCAAAAATACAATTTCATGGTTTTTTTCTTTAATTTTAGGGTGAAATATGTCCTGTTAGATTTTTGTGAGATTCACCCAGTGGTGCATAAATGTGCTCTTTCAGTTCAAAACGTCGATCTTAAATTGCAAACCTGTGATTCTGGGATTGAAATCAGCTGCTGTAAACAGTTGGACAAAATACAATCAAGTGGGGGAAAAAAAAAAAAACCGCACACCAGCCCTGTCGTGACACGCCTTTACTACATGGATTCCTCTGATGACAACAATAATGATAATAATAATAAGGCAACTGGAGTTAGACATCATAGAGAGCTTCCACTACATTTCTCCTTCCTCATCCTCTTCCTCTTTCTCCGGCAGCTGCATCTTGAGCCAGCCTTCGGCGGAGTGGCCGTGCTTCTTTTGGTGGCGTTTGTAATTGTCCCAGTGGCCCGTGGTGTATCCGCACTCCTGGCACTTGAAGGGCTTCTCGCCGGTGTGCCGCAGCATGTGGCGTTTCAGGTTCATGCTCTGGTTGCAGCTGTAGCTGCACACGCTGCACTGGAAGGGCTTGGCGCCCGAGTGGATGCGCTCGTGCCGCTTGAGATTGGCCAGGTTGCCGCAAGCGTAGTTGCAGACGCGGCATTTGTAGGGCTTCTCGCCCGTGTGCACGCGGTGGTGCCGCTTGAGGTTGTCGAAGTGGGCGGAGGCGTAATTGCACTGCGGGCACTTGTAGGGCTTCTCGCCGCTGTGAGTCTTCGTGTGGCGGGCGAGGTGGTTGGGGTACTGTGTGACGAACGGACACGATGTGCACGAGTACAGCTTGTCGCCTTTCTCCGGGCTGCTCGGCGAGCTTTTGGACAGCATGTCTAGTGTGCATTTGCTGCAGATCTGCGCTGTGGCACCCTCCTCGTCCTCCAGCACCGCTCCGCACACGCGGCACGTGAAGGGGAATAGCAGCTCAGGCAGAGGGTCCGACTCTTTGGCCAAACCCTCGGCGTGCAGCAGGGCGGGGGGATGGCGGTCTGTTCGCAGGGTGTCGTAGCTTTGGAGGAAGTCAGGGTCGCTGCTGATGTGCAGAGTCAGGTCAGACACCACAGACTCTGAAAGACAAAGGAACAAAAACAAGCTTCCTTTTTACAGCGAATCCAGATTTAGGAAGCCAAGAGTTTCTACTTCCCCCTTGCTTCACGCTTCGCTTCCTCTTTTGGTTTGCAGCACGAAGTGCTTAAAGCGCAAAGTATAAAGTAAAAGGAAATACGCAATAGCAAGAAACTTGCCGTTTTGAAGAGAACAAGTGCTTCTTTGTGCATCCTCGGAATCTGCATTCCTGTTGAGCACTGATAATTAAAATAACTGAATAAAGTCAAGTAAAATAACTGCTTCACCTGTGTAGGGAAATGGCATTCATAAACGATTTTACTTCTGTAATATGACACATGAGTGAAACAGAAAAAATATAGGTCTGAACTTTACATCCTTTAGGAATCAACTGGATCATGAAAAAAATGCTTTTTCCCCATGTCTACTTATTTGATATTATTGCAATAACTAGTATTTTTGGCATGTGTACGTTTATTATGATAGGACAGTAGAAGCAGTGAAAAAGCAAGTGATAGGAGAGGTGAGAAGAGCCACAAGCCAGGATTTAAATTTGAATTTGGGGGAAAATGTAAAAAAAAAAATTGCAACTTCTGATAAATGTGTGATTGCAATTTTAAGCGATTTAAAAAAGCTCCAGTTTTGTCATGCATGTTTGTAGCGCTGCACAATTTGACCAAGAAAATTGTAATTATATATCAATTTGACTATAATAATATTTATATTATTATTGCACTACGTAATTAAAAAAAAAAATATATAATAAAATAATAATATATATTTTTTAAAAACAAAGTAAGAAATACTTCTAATAATATAATATCTTGCTGTAAAATTATAGTATTTTAAAAAATCATATAATAATAATATCTCACAATACTAATATTTATGGCTTAATTTTATTTCTTAATTTCTTCATTTTCAAATGTTAAATCAAACATTTGTAAATGTGTAAATTAACACTTCATTTTGAAATACAAAGTGCA